AGTCTCTGGTCCAGAATCTAAGGATATCTACGCCAAAGATGACAACCTCCTCATCCCAGAACCCGAAAAAAATATGCTGTCTGCTGGCCCATCATTAGGGGTCAACTCAACTCATCTGAAGACTTGGGCTACCTCACTAAGGGCAAAATCTTGGCTGACATTGAGGCCGTTTGGGTGTATGCTCTATCCACTTGTCTAGGTATCAAAGAACAAGATTTGAAAGTAAATCAATCTTTAGCTTCACGTTTGGTGATTGTCATAGACATACTACCAAGCCTTACTCATAGGAATAATATTCAGCAATTTTCATCTTACCTGATATCTATGATCACGTGCACCTGCGGGAAATGGTCCATTTATCTGTGAACGGTTCAACAAGGCCTCTGCCGTGGGGGTCTTTTGGTTCATCAAACCCCAAAACCTGCCTGGTTTTGAAGGATTGACTCCCAAATCAACTGTTTTTTTTAATATATTTTTTGGGGAGTCAACTCCCAAACCAGTCAAAGGTTTTGGGGGTTTGACTCCCAAATTTTGGGGAATACAGGGCTTGGGAGTTGACTCTCCAATTTTTGGGATTCAATTAAACAAGGCCCTAAAAAGCAAATTGGTTGGCTTTAATTACTTACCTTGATTGATGTCAATTCCTTGCTGTTGACCGTTTTTGAACACCTTGTGTATGTAGCTGTACAATTGGCAGAGGGCACTGTGGATGTGTAGCTCCCAGCCTCCCAACTCAATTTTGGCTTGCACCAATAATTTTGAGTAACCCACTGAACAATAACTAACAGCATCTTCACTGCATCAGGTCAATCTGGGTTTCTAAATGTGATATTTCAGCAACTGAGATCTGGATTTACTTCCAGATATATAATTTTTTTAGGGAGTCAACTCCCAAACCAGTCAAAGTTTTTGGGGTTCAACTCCCAAATTTTGGGGAATACAGGGTTTGGGAGCCAATTCTAAAAAACTCATCCATCTCACTGTTCAATTAAATATGATTTGATAAATAATTTACATGATTTTTACTTTGTTTTTGATAGTTCCTGTGTGATATTTTGTCATGTTGTCTAGTGCTGAAATCCTTGGAGTCTTTGAGCCCTGGTCTAGTCTTTATCAACTTTCATTTATTCCAGTCATCTTTTCAAGCATATGTTAATCTGTGATGTTCATTTTGATATTCATTTTTTCTCAACCACATGTTTGACCTCTTGTATGTAGACTATTTAACCCACAGTCTCCTCTAAGTAAAAAACACATTGGCTCTCACACTCTTTTCCCAACCCTTGGGTCTTTCCAACAAAAAGTATTTTTTGTGGCCCAAAGGTTTTTTCCTTCTCAAAAAATTCACCGCTTCTCTACAGTCAGAATTTCATCATATGTCAAACAATAATGAGAAATGAGCTTTGAAAAATGTCGAATTGAAAAATATCTCTAATTACAGTATTCAAAATGAACCATTGATTTTTATGAAAATTGAACGTTACCATAAAATTATATGCATTTTGTCATGTAGGAAATAAGTTTAAAAAATAGTGTGTAAAAAATCAATACTAAAAAATGTGTCCAAACATGGAAATCTAAATGCGGAAAAACTGTGTCTAAATGTGGAAGGCCTGCGTCTAAACCTGGAAAAACTGTGTCTAAACCTGGAAAACCCGGGTTTCTTCATTGAAGCTCAAAATAAACCCCCCAGGGTTTTTGGGAGTCAATCCTCTAAAGATCCCAGGGTGGTTGGGAGTGGATGACTTCCCGTCAACATCTGCGGGTCTCCCAGTTTTCATTTAGACCCGCGAAAGCTAGATTTCCCTGCAAAAATCTAGACTTTTCGGGTCTAAATCAAAAACTGCGAGGCTCCCAGATCCGACGGGAAGTCCTCCAGTTGATGTTGGAAAGCCCTCAGCGGCCAAGAGGAATCCCTCTTGGCTGTTGAGAGCCTATACTCTCAATGACTGGATTCCTCTCAGCTGCTGAGAGTGTATGCTCACAATGGCCAAGAGGGATTCCTCTTGGGGGGCAAGGGTTTTTGTATTTGTATTTTTTTTATTAGGGGATTAACTTTCAAACTTTTTAAAGGTTTTGGAGGTTCGACTCCCAATTTTGGGGTCTTGACATCCCAGAAGTTTGGGAGTCAAACTCCAATTTCTGGGAGTCATACTTCAAGTAAGACCCTTTTTTACCTATGGCTAACATTCTTTCTTTATATCCTTCAGATGGTTTGGACCCGCACACCTCCAACAAACAAGAATCTCTTATCACTGGTATGGCCGAAGGAGGGATGACACCTACAGCCATTGGGGCCAAGCTTGGAAAGAGCGGAACAACTTTCTCATCCATCAATAATCACACGAACAAGGGCTTGTGGGATCGCCGTAACACTGAACAGCTGCCAGAAGTGGCAGGCCCCAAAAACTCAATGAATCAGATATGAGTCAGCTAGCAGGAATCCTCAAAGATAATTCAAGAATGAAGATCGTCAAAATCAAGGAGCAGTTGATCAGGCAGAAAGTGAATGATCATATGTATCACAACATCCCCAGGGGAGTGGACCTGGTTGCAGGAATCCATCCACACGGAACACGTCTTGTGACTGGTGGACTCAACCGCATGGGTGTCTGTACGGCGTACCAGGCCAACAAGTCCGCCGGCCAAGCTCGGGCCACTGGGAAAGCGTCTGACTCGACGGAGTGTGTCACCTCTCGCCCTCTCCCGCTATGTATGTACCCTCGGTGACTGCTCAAGTTGTGTTGTTTTCTGAGTGTTTGATCCGAATACCTGCCCAGGAGAACCCACTGAAGTTTGCAACGTTACATACAATCCACGGAAGTTGAAACGTGTGATCCGCTAATCTGAAGAACAACTATCTACGTTCATGAATATTTGCATGCAGTGGTTTGACTTTGCAGAGGTGTGCTTCTGGAGCTTGTTCCATCCGCACTGTGCACCTGGTAATCAACCGACAATCGCCCTTCGAACCACTCAAGCTGCTCGCAGGCAGGTCATCCAGCTATGTCACTGCGCACAATATTTGTCCTAATAACACCAACTCTATGTTGCCTTAACCTGGTGATTGCACGTTTTTATACAAAACCTCCTGGAGTCGCCTTATCGACTTCCCAAGCGACGCATCCCTCGAACGACGATACAATATATGGAAAGCTGGACGATATCGTGAATTTGGAGCTGGAATCCCACAAACGGAATCCTGCTCAGCAAAGACTATCCGATGAGTTTTCGTCCGAAAATTTATCTTCCCTGGCCCAGCACGGTGAGCAAGCCTTATCGACTGTACCAAGTGCCGTTTTTTTGATGAGTAACAAGTATTAAGATTCGCGTACGCGTCTTTTCCAGGGCCTCCTGATACCTTTTGGTCAACGGGTCATTACATGATCCATCATCCAAGTGATGATGAAGAAAAATTTTCGACCCTACGAAACACTGCGGCTTTTGAATATGGCTTGCCGTCACCTCATGAAGTCTCTCAATCTTCTTCGGCTCCACACGTTGAGGAATTATCCATAAGTAGCGCGGTGTCCGACACTCTCGACACAGCAAGCACTCGGCCAGAAGCCAGCTCAAATTCTAGGGTGACCGGCGCAATAGGCAGGGAAGAAGGTCAGTTTGAAGCAACGGACTCCAGACCAACATTTTTTGGTTGACATGAACAAGCTATTAATACACCAATGTAATAAATGTAGATCCACATGACCATCAGTCCAAGACAGTCGATTCCGCTGTAAAAAAACGTCGGAGGGAGGTGGAACTAGCTGATATCTATCACCGAACTCAAGACACCAAGAAACAAAAAAGCATACCACCTACAACTTTGAAACAATCCCAACCCAGCTCTAACTTTGAAGACAAAAACCTTGTAATCAATGAAGCTCACGAGATCTTCTCTGGCGTCAGGTTATGGGAGTATTCTATTCTCACACGGGCAAAAAAATCCCCTAATCAAGACCTCGCAACAACAAAGGAACTCGAGCAAACCGTTCTCGCTAACATCAACCAGTTTCCGGTGTTATGTGCCCATCGAGAAGCCGGGATTGATACGTTCATCTTGCCGCCAATCATATTCACATGGGTTTCACAAGCCTCGAAAACAAGTAGGATAGACTATCTCAAAAGCAACGCAAACAAGTGGTTTTTTAGAAGAAATCTTAAAAGGAAAATCATGCCAATCTTCAAGATTGTCAATCAGCTTCACAACATGGCAGTTTATCAGGGCTTAGACAAAGACTTAGAAGTCACAAGAAAGACTCACACAGCTTTGCTTTCATGGATCAATGATCTCATATTTAGAGATGAACACCACTTTCCTATAATACCATCTGAAGAAGAAAGCACCAAATATTTGTTTCGACAAGCTCAACTTTGTTTAGCAAGTGACATAACCGATCCGGAGAGGGTCAATAAAGCTAGGCTAATTCCCACTGTGATTCTTTTAATGGCATATTGGTACAAAGGATATGATTTGAATCGAGGTAGATCACCTGAACCTATTACATTCTATACAAAGTCAATTCTTAAATCATTGCAAACCTATCAAAATGTAATTGACAGCAGTTTAAGATAGATTATTCCCTCGTGGCATAAATCTCTTTATATTCCATGAACTCGTCTTAGCAATTAGGCTCTAGAACTTTGGTTAGATATCTACTTCAAGCTATTCTTTTTTCTTTTCAGCCTCAAGCTTTATGAATATCTCTACAATTCCTTTAATTGCACCAAGTAAAATTCCAAATCTTCATTCATCACTTCATCTTTACCATAATTTGATCAATTTACCAGTATTCCCTCAACTAGACTGCGTGAGAACTCAACCAAGTCCGGGCTGGTTTGCCAAACGCAACCCAGAAATAACTACCAAAGGAAATCAAAAGGATCAGAAAATTTCCCAGCATGTATTCGAGTGTATACTGGCACTATTGATATTTGTATGGTCCATTTGGACATACACCTTATATGCTCAAGGAGGAGAGATTTTTTATTACTGCGCCAAGATCAACGTCGACTGTACAACAGATGAGGGGATTGCACGTATGGGACATTCAAAACAAGTTCAGCCATAGACATGACCGGTAGCAGAAAAGCTGTCAAGTTTTTTTTTTTCAAGATGGGAGCGAAAAGCTACAAGAGGGAGAAAAGTGAGTGAGACGGTTTGATGCAAGAGAAACAGAGTTGTGAGGAATCATTTTTAACGAGGATCTTTGGATTGATAAGAACGATTGAAGTTCAACATCATGTTCAAATCATTAATCCAATGGTCGTGAACGAAGGCATTCGAGTTTGGAGGTGAGAAGATGTGAATGGGGTGCTCTGAGCGCCGGATCTCGATTGATTCGCCGGGCTGGATAGTCTTGATCGCGATGCCGTCGACTCTGAGTTCGGCGGTTGATCGGGACTTGGGGTCCAACTATGATGACGGGAAGTTGAAGTTGAAGAGTCGAATCAGAAGGCGATTTCCACAAGAGATAGCTAGTACGAAAAATCAAACAAAAAACTTACCGCTAGTTGGACATGGAGATCAGCGGGCAATACGAGCGGTCTGAAGCTGAGACTACGTGGACAGATCGGAGTCAACAGCATGGCTTCCATGCTTGGATAGACAATTGGTCCGCCCGCTGAGCACGAATAAGCTGTGGAACCTGTGGGGGTGGCGATGATTAGTCCGTCGGCGACAGCCTGCGTCAGGAACCGATTTTCGATCGAAATGTTGATTGCCACCATATGAGGAGAATCGTTGCGATGGAGGCTGACTTCGTTCATTGCACTCAAGTCAACCTGAAGACATCCACCCAGATATTTTGGCATTCTTGTCAGTTGACCGACCCAGTTAATTTAGAATATCTATTTCAATTGTACCGAAAGCAAATTTGCCCCACCAAAGAGTTTGATGTGGATAGATTCCGCTGAGCTATAGCATTTGTGTCTCCGCTTTGTAGTCCACTTCCGTTTTGGCCAGTAAAGCAATCCAATCTCATTCTTTCTTCGACACCGATTTTTCCGTTTAAGACCTGATTGATGACGTCAAACCAATCATTGGGAGCTATTGAGAGGTAGAGATGCGATAAGCGTATGGTTTGTTGGTCTCCAAGTTAGCTACGAATCTTACCGAAGGGTAATAAGAATCCGATTGTACCCAAGTTGAATCCCAGAATGGGGGGACAGGCAGTATTTTTGAAAAGATGAGAAATGTGAAGTACTGTGCCATCTCCACCGAGGGCAATTACCAGGTCGATATCTTTGCGTGATTCGAGTGTCTGGAGATCCTCTTCTACTATCGTCTTAATTTGAGGGCGTTGTTGGTCAAGATACCTTTAAGATTGGGTGCACTTCAAATGAGAAAAGTCAATTTTTGTTTATTTCGTTCATTCCCTTTGTTGAATAGGTTTTCTTTTCGGGGCTTTGAATGTGTTTTGTTTTGGGGGGGAGAATCTTGGATGATAAAATGAATATCAACTGACGAGATTAATGAATCGAGTGCGCTGGAAGCTCGTTCATCATTAGATTTCTTGACGAGTAAGATCCGGTGATTTTTCAAGCTGGGGTACTTGATCTTCTTGTTGATTGGAGAGTTGAAGTTTGAGTTAGATGAGAATGACTGAGGTTTTGGGCTGTGATTTTGGTTTGAAATTGACTTGGGTGGGATGTGGCTGTTGCTAAGATGGGTCAGTTGGGCTGGCTGGGTCGAGGGTGTGAATGCCCTTCGGGTGTTTCTTGAGAAGATGTGACGAGTCCATCCTGCGAGGTTGTTTGCTGGGGTCGTCAGAAGTCTCATCGTCTGCTCGAGTTCTTTGTGGTGGTTCCTGTCAAGAGAGGGTCATTCACAGGGCCTGATGGCTCGGCCAGGAACCCAAAAAATTGCGGCCGGGTCAGCTTGTGGGTGGATGCGGCCCAGTTTCTGACACAGATTTCGCACAGGGCCGCCGTGTTTAATCAAAACTGAGAAAAGAAAAAAAAACACTGCCGGCGCAGGCGGCAGCGACGTTCGGACCGGCGGACCGGGTATCGTCCGACCTGCAAAGGCCGCAGAGAAGCACAGAACAGACCGAATCAGACCGGCCCCTGCCGGCGGTGCAGGCGCCGAGAGGAGGAGAGGCTCTAATTGGTTTGTCTCAACAGAAGACGCGTTCCACTTGAGCTGACTTGATCCTTTCAGAGCGCGAAACCTCTTGAAACGCAATCCGAACCTCATGAGCTCCTCCGGGTGACTCAGTCCGTCCAATGTGCGGTTGATGTTGATCAGAGATGTCGAGCAGTCACCGTGTCCCATTTAAGCACTTGGCTGAGCACCTGGTAAGCAAAGTACTTTGTATGCCAGACTGAGCGGCACAACACTGTGCAACAGTACTACCACAGAGCAAAGTGCTACTAGCCTAGTGTCGGCAAGTTATGAGTCTCAACTGGGCCGGCGTAGCTAATGAGTTACTCCCTTTTATTAGATCCAGCAGGTAGAAGAGTACATATGTAGTCGAAAAACTGAAGCCGCCGAAAATCTTGCGCACATTTGCTAGCGAATATTCAATTGCGTTCAGCTTCCCATCCATCAAGTTGCAGAGGATTCCGGACACTATGTAGTCCCATCACAACATCCACACCAAAAAGGAACATTTGTCAAAGGAATTCACCTTTAGCGTCGCAAATTACATGTCTCTCGGAGACAAACTCAGTTCTCTCTGCTCAAGAGCTTCCCTTGGGGCCTTTCCCTACCCTTGTACCTGGTCCATGTTAAATAAGAATGGATTCAGTCTATCAAAACCGAATAACCCATCACCAGTACTCCTCGTCTTCTCACTCTCATCTCCCATCAGCTTACTATACTTCCAATGGATCCAACCAAAAATGCTAGCCTATCTCGACTCCCAGTCGAACTGAAACTACTCATTGTGGGCTGGCTTTACAGGTCCATAATCGACGCGCGAGAAAAGCAAACCGATCTCCTCAATCTGGCATTGGTGGATCGAACGTTTTACAACATTTGCAGTCAGCTGAATTGGAAAGTGAGTTTGATTTCTTTTCCTTGGGTGTGGGGGGGGGGGGGGTACTCTCTTCGCCTATTCGGAAGACTCATGAATAAAATTCTTCCCGGTTTTCTTCCGCATCCATCGGGGGATACATCACACAGCATCTTGCCCTTCGCCATGGAGATTTGCCCAGATTTTCCGCCCTCAACCATGAAATCATGCAACGCCAATCGGAAAGGGTGAAGCACATCACCGTCGGACTCATTATCCCTTCTCTTCATTCTCTGGGACTGGTGGAGCGCAATCCCATTCACACCAGAGCCAGTCTAATTATCCAGGAACGCATATACTCTCAATTCAGTGATATTATCCGCTCCTGTACAAATCTGATCGGAATCACGCTAGAGGTTGAGCCTCGACCGACTTCACTAGACGAGCATGGTGACTTTGCCTTCGACCTTGAATACCCATCATCAAAGTTATTCAAGCCGATCTCAAAGCTTTCTAATCTGACCTCCATCGTCCTAAAACCTTCAATGGCTGGTACCCATTTCAACGAATCTTTTGTGGTCAGATTGCTCAGAGAGATGGTCCATCTAGTCCAATTTGAATGCAACGGCATCGATGCCATCTTTCCAGAATGCGAACCTCGCGAAGGCTCGAGCTCGAGTGAATGCAGTGTGTCACCACTGGCCATTCAACTATCTTCTTTGTCTTCACTTCGGGCCATCACTCTTTCTTTTGCGGATTGCTTTGATTGGGGTTGGAGCCAAATCAAATGGAAAGGAGCGCTATCTCATATCAACATCATTAACTCCAATAGATCAACCATTCGGGCGCTTCATTCTTTCTTTATTCCATTCCAAGATAGCTTAAGAAGCATCTGCATCTCCGGGATCCCAACCAGCAGTCAAGAAGAGGATGAAGCATTCTTGAACGCTTTACTTTCGTCCGACCTCCACTACAAATTTGACTTGCCTAATTTGGAATGTCTGACAATCGATAGCTGCATTCCCTTCCACTTCTTAACACTATTTCGGGAGGCTGTCTCGATTAGATTACTCATCTTTGAACTCGACACCCACATCACATTACAGCATCTCAAAGAACTCATCGATGACCAGAATCCGGTATGGCCAAACCTGAGACACTTTGGTTTTGAAATGTACGAAAGGCTCCTTACTGATGATGAAGTCGAAGAACTGATGGTGTATGGCTCGAGACGTGGGGTTGACGTGGTCTGCGATTACGTAGGAAGAAGCCTAGAATGGGAAGCAGAAATCGAGGAAGATGGCGAACAACTGATGGACGAGCCGCTGTAGCAAGCTACACTTCCTGAACATTAGTGGCAAACAGATGGTCAAATTCTTGATTCCTCTGTTGGCTGGAGCTGCAAGATGAATTCAAGACGACTCCAGCTGGGCCGGGGGGATGCTCTTTTTTTTTTCTCCAAATCTTATCTTCTTGATTTCTCAAGTGATTCCATTATTATTATTTTAATATTTATTATACCAGTTGATCTGCTTTATCTTCACTACATTGCACACTTCGATTTTCAATACTCATCATTAAACCTAGTTCTTGGCAACATCCCATAAGACCAAAAACAGTTGAGCATGTTTTCCCAGGAAATTTAAAAATGAACTCGATTTTTATGTGTGTCAAAAAGTTGTGCCAGTGACAATCATGTGCAGGATTTTCAGCTTGATGGTTTCTGTGCAAAACAATTTCAGTTCAAGCCCTATATCCTCACTACATTGCAAACTTCCATTTCGAAAAAAGACCACCGAATCAAACATCTATTTAATAGAAAGAAATAGCAGACCTAAATCCACGGAGACTGTACGGTCTCCATGGCCGGGAGGAATCCCTCTCGGACATGGGGTCTGTGCAGTCTCTATGCCCGAGAGGGATTGTCCCGGCCATGAAGACTTGTACGTGGGCGGGTGGGATCTCTCCTGGCCATGGAGACAGTACAGGCTCCATGGCCGAGAGGAATCCATCTCCGTCATGGAGACTGTACAGACCCCATGCCCGGGAGCCGACCCCCCCCCTCCAAAAAAAAACCCCCCGGAATTGAGGTCCAACTTCAACTTCCAAATCCACCAGGCTTTGGGAGCCGCCCGGTCCCAAAGTTGGGTCCCTCCTCTCTCTGACAGCCAAAGCTCCACCTAGATATGTTTTCCAACAAAACCCAAAATGAAGTTGTTAAAAACAGCTTGAGATTATGTCAGTGGGATCAGATTCCTTTCTTTTCCCAATGTTCCGCTTGATGTATGATTTGTTTGCGAAACACTTTTAATGCCAGTAATGAATCTTGCTTCACGTTCAAATTCTGAATTTTCCTCGCTGTTCCTTGAGTGATGTACTCCGAAACATCATTTTATTAAAACTGCTCACATGATGTTCGGCCCACCACAGTATAATACTAATAGGCACCATGGGGCCGATTCCGCAGTTTGGAAGGTATTGGGAGCCATTGGGAGGCTCGCTCTTGATGCATTCATGTGTGTATGGAGAACTTGTGTTGGACCTCGGCTGCCTCAGATCCAATACTCATTCTCTAACAAGCCGTACTATCAGATGTCAAGATGGTCCAGGTGGCCCCTGACCCACTCTTTCTTTCTATTTTGACTCCGAGCCTCACATTTACGGCAGCGTGATAGAAAGTATTCAAGTCGATGCAGGTGCTGATCAGTTAGCTCTTCTTATGATGCTGATGGATGCATCATTTTATTTTCAGATCGCACTGTGCTTCTTGCACTTGGTTGATGCAACTCCTACGGGGATTTCTACAGCCGAACTGACAAGGAATCCATCTGATCTCACTGGCGAAAACGAAATATTCAAAGACCTTGAAGATCTCCATAGTTTGGAACCATTATCCTCAAGGCCAAAGACAATTTCAGAGGAATACCCGGGTCGCTTTCCTGTGTTTTACGTCCCTCGGCATGGTGAGGTACTATTAAATCGATTCCCGAAATTGATACCGAGGCTTACTGGTGGCTGAAGCTTTCATAACAATTCTTACCCCGTGCTCTTGGATATTCAGCAGAGTTGAAGGACAGCCTTCTTGATAGAGCAAATCCCGATTTAGCAGTTATATCAGGGCCCAGCGTTAGTAACACACATGTGGGACAAGGTAAGCTTTAACCGCAGTCGAAGTAAATTCTTCAATGGTTGCTGACCCCAAGTCGCTTTCGACACATAATTACACCTATGTACATAACATCCAGAAAAAAATGAAAATCAGGTCAAGCGCCTTGGATCCCCTCCGACAACATACCCGAGAAAGCGTAAAATCCTTGGATTGGACCGTCAAACCCATCCTAATAAGAAAACCCGCCAACTCCGCCGCAGGATTCGCAAAAAGCCCGATATTGGAGAGGAAGAAAAAGGCTCAATCTACTCAACAGGTTTGAATGACTTCGGCCTCAGAAAATGGTGGAAAGTTCTCTTCAAGCGCACCGTGAGGTTTCCTCCTCGAAATCCAGAAAGGACGGAGCAGATTAAAAAAGACATTTCCCAACGTTTCGAGTTAGCCAAAGAGTTATCGAATACTGGTTATACCTCGTTGCAAAGTGAAATACCGGGAGATCTACCAATATCAATCAAATGGAGGCCCACTGGGATGGATGCCGAAGGGAGGAACGAGGTCTTCATCAGACTGACGCAAAGAAGCTTAAGCAAAGGGGGCCTTCTTTGGTTAGGAACTCTTGCACAGAGAGTTGATCCGATCTTCCAGACTCTAGATCTTTTTCACAACGCGCTTGTTTCTACTGGACTGGATAGAAGTATTACTGGGTTCGCGGAAAATTTCGGTCGGCCACTACTTGAATGGTTTCGGGATCTCATATTTGAACAGACCGGGAGAGACCAGGTGCCTCTGATTGGATTAGCAAGACTCAAACTTCCTATGGACGAATCTCAAGCATTGCTCAGTGACGCTCAAATTTATCTCTCAAAGATTTTAAGTGAGGAAGGGATCAATCTACATAAGTCAGGCATAGTTTCAGTGGCATTGATGGGGTATTGGTGTCAAGAAAATGTTTCAAAGCAAGGTCATATGATCAAGGTGGATGTATTTTGGAAAGCAATTGCTGAAGCATTGAGAAAAATTCCAAAAACTAACTCAGTAGAAAAACTGATATCAAGCAAGTAGTATCTTCTGTTCTAGATTTCCTTCCAATCAACTTGTGTTCTCTGATAATATTTTAAGTGTGTAATTGATCCATCAGCAAACTCTGTTATAGTTTTTAGAAAAGTTTCAAAACATAAATACATAATGCAGTGATCACCAAAACCAAACATTACAATTTCAGTATTACGTCAATAATTTCAATAAAGGTCATGAAAATTATTATTTTGTTTGGACATTTTTCTTGAGAACTGTTATTGGGAGAGGTCTATGATTGACATGTCACATTAAGATGTGCAGCTCTTGCCCCTTGTTCAAGGCAATCAAACAGCCAAGGAAATCATTTCAGATCTGCATGAGAAATAAAATCTAGCACAACGGTGGGCCGCTACACTAACCGACGCAGTGGAATTGCTGTTAGCGATTAGCGTAGCGTAGCGGAATTCTGCCACGACACCGCTAACGCTACGCGTGTGGGCCGCAAAAAAGGGCCCACTACGCTGCGCTACAGCGGTTTTTAGCGGTTTTTGGCCGCTTTTTCCGCTAAAAGCGCTGTAGCGTAGCGAAAAATCGCTAAAAACCCGCTAACACTACGGTTTTTGGATGAAAAAAAAGTGCCGCTACGCTACGCTTTTTGGGCCAAAAGTGTAGCGTAG